TCTGAAAATACATGTTTAATAATAACATTAACCTTTCTCTGCTTAATTTCATACCATAGATTCATTATTACAATAGTCTAAATTAGAAGTATAATTCAGATTCCAAGATCTTCTTACAAAAGACGACTCGAAGTACTTCTTACAAAATTACTTCTTATGTTTACATCATTGTTATAATTAAAAAATAAATTTAAATGCTACCATGATTGGCAAAAGGATTAAAGATAGCTTTAGGAAGGGTATTGGATGTATATTTTTAATCGTTGTTTACAAATTCTTCGTTCCTGAATCCATCAATTTAAAAGTTTAAGTTTTTTTTTAATAAATTTGTATACTATGGGTCTATGATATAAATGAGTTGATTCGAATCCAGCTTACTAATAAGAAAAGAGGCTTGTACGTTCGTTATAATCCGTAGAGAAATCTTTTGTAGTTATAAACACATTATGTACAAGATTGCTTTTGTCAACAGATGACAATCTTAGATTGCTGAGAAAGTTAATTAAACTCATTTTAAATATGCCAATAACTTAACCAAATTATAGGGTTTTTATCTAATTTAAAATTACGCCAGTTAAAACATGTCATTATGCACGTTAAAATTGAAACCAAACTTTCTCGAAAATTAATAAATTAGAGACGGCATTGTTCCCTTAAAGTAGGTTAATATTTTCGTCGTTATTATAAAAATGAAATAGTTAACTCATTAAAAAATCGAGCAAAAATGTATATTTAATAAGTAAAAAGTTTAGAATTCTTAAGATCATTTTTAAAGTCACAGTCGGACATAGCACGCGTCCGCTTAACAGTACGAAATACATTCATTTTTTCGAGGTTATTGCAGTCTTTATGTCCTTAACTCGTCTCCGAATTAAATATTTTTTAAACATAAATCGGGCTTAATGTCATAAGCCGCTCAGACGTCTCTCGATTGCCAGAAACATTTGTATAAAACGAAAAGCTGAAGGGAGATTATTCAAAAACGAGCCGCTCTTAGTGATTTGTTAAATCATAATTTCATTGTCTTTATTATTATTGGCTACTAAGTACGATGCAGTTAAAATATTATTTATAAAATCTAAATTACTAAGAACATCTCATAATATTTCAGTCAGTAATATAGACATACTCTTTAGTGATATAATAATTATACAATTTACATGGGCTAACATATTCTTGACGAGAACATACAAAAATATTGTTTGTGTTTCCTTAGTTTAGTCAAATAATTAAGAAAATTTATATATTTGTTAAATATTATTCTTAAAATGACTATCCTTTTAACTACTATTCTTAAAAGGATAGTCATTTTAAGAATAATATTTAACAAAACTCTTGATAAGTTAAAAATGCACGTGGGATGCTACGTTGGATGGCCAACCAGATTGGCCCCGGGCTAGGTGACGGCGATGAGTCGCGATACGAATCAAGCATGCGCCCGGGCCTTGTAATTTCTCCGCGAATACGCTTTCAACGTTACAACGGCCGCCAATAGCTTGACACTTAAAATCCAGTGAAGACGTCCGAAAACTCGCGCGACGTGATGCATTATCCGTTCTAACATTCTGATTGAAATCAAGTAAATATTTAGATTAGAATATTTAGATATAGATAATAATTTTGTAAAGCCTTAAAATGTTAGGGAATTACACATTTGGAATTCACAACTGTCGGTTATTATATCGAAAATTTCAATTTACTTTAAGAGCGCCACGACGAAAACGCATCTACAGTTTCAGCTGTTAACAATGCGAAACTGTTCTATTGTTCTCGCTCTAGGTGAGCGGACTTGTGCTCGCATTTGTACTTTTGTGACCCTTTACCCCGAGACCGTAAATTGTTACGTGCGAATTACAAAAAGGGGCCGCGGAGGACGTTATAAAATATTGTATTTGTGACCTCTATAAAGGGTTCAGTACCATAATCAAGGTTTAGTCACATTCATATGACGGGTGGACAGGCGATGCACATCTCTGCGTGCACGCACACAGAGATGCGGCGCGCTCTCGGATCAAAGGCACCGACAGGCTCTTTTAGCCGCATAATATGACGCGCCCTCCCCGCCCCCCCGTCCACAACCCGCAAATGCCTCGTCCGAACCTCCGGGGCGCTTACTCGCCATTATTTATGCAGATCTATTAATGAACAAATTGATATAACGGATGTTTTGTATATTTTAGTGCGAAAATTTTGCATAAAAAGTGACGCTTTGTTCTGACAAAGTAGTATTCTGTTTTGTTAGAAAAAATATATTGTCTGCGTCTAGATGATAGGTTGGGTTTACTGATTTGTATACTGTAATTGAATTAGTCAATACCCATACTCTTTAATCTAACAGTTTCAATATGATCTGGGCAATCAATTAACTAAACTACGTAATAATATATAGTCTTTCGAATAAATCGATTTCTACAGGACCCCACTCATTTATCATTACCACTTTGGCATGTCATAATTTAACCAATTATCAAAGTAAGTAAGTAAAAAGTATTTTCTTTAGTATTTTTCTAAACATATTTCCATTAGGGGCAAGAAAAGGCGTGCGGCGAATGGACTCGTCAAAGAAACAATCCTTATAAAAAAGAAAAGAATCCGTCAAATTAGTACATAACGCGTTATGAATATCAAATGAGGTCAAACATGGCATTCTCAAACATACCATTATATCGAAATAAAATATTCAGTTCCATTCATTACTTACGTACATTCTATTCGGCGTTGACAAGCCGAAAGGCGTTTCTTCGTTTGAACAGTTGGCATTTAGTTTAATGGTAGAAGAGTTGTTGCATGTACCTATTAATATTAAACATTTATTATTAAAACCTTTCTAGTTAAAATTATATATATTCGTTAAATATGCAACAATTTTGCCATTTCGTAAGAACTACAAATTTTAACAACAAGCCCGTAAGAGTTTTTTTATATCTTGAAGATACAAAAACTTTGTTTTATAGAACGCCACACATTTATGACTTGATGAGATGTGGTTATGTAGTTGAATTAGTTTGTAACTCACCCTTTCTGGTTACTATGTAAGTTTAAACTATAGTATGCGAAAACGTAGGTTCTCTGGCTTTGAAACTGTTACTTCGTAATGAAACTTTGTACAGTAAGTTCGGGTTTACTGAACTAGGAGTCTATTGTTCTTTATACCTCGTGGCCTATATGTTACGAGAAGTGATTTCTGAGAGAAACGTTGGGGCATTTCATATGGGGGTTTCAATTTTGCCTTTGTCTTCATAAAGATATAAGTAACAAAGTAATATACGAACACTTAATAAGAATAAAATCTAAATTATATACATCTATTAGTAAGTGTATGAGTTATGGTACAGTCGATTACATATTCTACACTGTAGCTTGAGCCGGGCCACGCGACTGCGGGCCACACAGAAAAGTTTGAATGCTTGAAGAAGGTTTAATGGAATGACATAGCCTTTGTAAGTGCCGCCCAATTCTAATGCCCATTCAAATGGCATTTCATCTCTTTGTTGCTTGATTTTGGACAGCAATAGGTTATTTTATTAGTGTATAAATGAATTTTAACAGGTTACGAAAGGAAACCGCGTGTCGATAACGAATTCAGATAGTCGTCTGTTATATTAACTTACGATAGAATCAAACTAAATTTAATATATATAATACGAATATTTTAATATTTTAAACAATCGCAGTGCGATAGTGAAAAGTGAAAAGCTATCGATTTTCATTTACTAGACCATGTTGTTTTCACAGGCTATTTCGATAACCTAATGCAATGGAGCAATATATTTTTTATTTATAAACAAAATAGCATTCAGTTGTATTGCATATTTCAATGTCCTTGAGGTGCGTAGGTTTTTAAATTAAACTGCATCCCACATGCACATGTCCAATAATTTTTTTTGCGTGTAATTATATTCGAGGGGCCTTTTATTTCACCATTAGTCATGTAATTATAAGTTAGAGAACGATAGCGTATTAATAATTATTCAAAGTCTCGAACTATGACCGGGACTGGAAGGAATTTACGTTCTTGCGTACGGCTATCGCAGCATAAACTGCTGAGGAAGAAAGCGGTATGATGTATGACGTAAGGCCTCATATAAATTTTACTATAGGCACATTAATGTCGCTATGTGAAATTGATTTGCCAGCAGAAACATATTATTGTTGGGAAAACGAGGTTTACGATTTATTTACTCAATACAGTGCCGATTTTAAACATTAGAAACTATCACTGTTACTGTGTAACGAGTGCCTGTGAAAAATTAATTATTAACGTAGTATTATCTTGAGTGCATCATAAAAATTGAATGAATCGATATTCTTGAAACGCGGTTTAAAATTTTCTTCGATTTATAAACATTAATGAACGTGTGTAAACTATTTGCTATATGCTGCTATAACCTGATACAATTTTATCACCTAAAACATTTATTAAGAAATGCAACTATCGCAAATAACTTAAATATTTTTTGGTTTTAGAGGGTTCAAAAAATTATAAACCCTTGTGAAATATAGCGGAAAGAAGTTAATTAAAGAGAAGGTTAAATTCTATTTATTACTATTCCAATTCAAACTTGTGATGTAACAAATTAAATTAAAACAAAAAAGGGAGATAAGTAGTTAGATTAAGATTAATAATCAATGTAGGTCAAAACAGACTACGATTTGGCATCTCAGAAATTGGTTTAGGAAATTCAATATCCGTTCGACAATGCAACCGATAACTGAAAAGACTGCGGTGGTTGATGGAAAAGTGATTGCTAATTAAAGTTGACACAGAAAGTCGTATAGTGGATACGAAATCATCATTTATTCGGTCACGGTTTTCCTCTCGCGTTTGGCATTAAATGATTGACTCTGTTTCAATTTCGTCTAACACGAATGCGGCGGTTGAACGAATCGGAACACGATTATGTTATTGTGAGAAATTTTCCAACGTTCCACAATACCGGTGTCTTTATCTTATGCTTAGTGCGCGATAATGTTTCGGAGCAGCAAGACTTGCGCCTGCCATGAATAAAGCACGTGAGTAGCGTATTTAAGTCAATGAGCACAAAAATGTTTTTCATTCTGAATAAAACCCGAACGGGGAATAAAATTAAACCACCTTGGTGGTCTTTTATCCGAACAAATTGATGCATGTTCGAATACGGCTTCCGGACGATTAGCTTTGCCGATGTTATTTGAGTTTGTTGTTAACTTTGCCTCCTTTTGCGTTAATAGCGTTACAATGTTTGCGAATTCTATTACGCATTGTACCTTTTATGTAGGGGCTGAATGCCTTTCATCGTTTGTCCGTTCGGCTGATATCTTATTGCGTAGATATGTAACGGAATAGTGTTCTTTCTATTTCTTAAGTTTATTTGACATCTAGAAGGCCTACAGGATTGAAAAGAAGAAACATCTTATGGCTAAGTGTCAAGATAGATACGAATTATATTTAATGAAGTGATACATTATTACAAAGCCACCCACATTTGTACAGCAAAGTTATTATGGACACGTTATGCGTCATAAATATTTCGGGTACATAAAATTAACACTCAAAAACATGGCCTTTCGAGGCACCGCAACGTCTACGGGATCTCACAAAAAATATCGGGATCGTCTTAAGAGTCAAGCAAAACCCAAAGCTTGTATTTTTAAAATTTTGCCGAAGCTCTAATCCCGGGTATTAGGATTCCAAATTGAAGTAACGGTGTGTATATTCGTTTCTTTACGGCTCGGTCCCTATGTTGCAATTGTCAACCATATAATGTTACAGTTAAGGTTCATGTTTAATTGTAATATCTCAAGGATTAGTACTTTCTGAAGGACACACTTGTTGACATGTTGTTTAATTGATCGGCAGTTCACGGCAGGGGTCCGGGGGCTTACATGTAGCGGCATCTTTGAGAACTTATTCGATTTTGATTCACTATTAATTCCGATACTAGTGTTAAGTGCCACCGTAATTTGTAAAAAACAGTAAGCAGCTTTAGGTGGTAAAACAAAAACGACGGGTATCGACGTGGTCAAGAACCTTTTTTGACCTTACTTGATTCTGTGGCGCTTTTAATGTTGTGAAATTAGAAAAAAAAAAAACGAATAGAATCCTTTATTATCGTGGACGAATAGAAGCAAAAATGCATGGTGGAAGGCGTTGCAAAAATTGACAAACGGCGGCTCCTTTGATGATAGGTGGTCCACAGCCAAAGTCAGTGATGTGTTTATAATAGCCACGCTTTACGTACACAATAAAATTAATATATTGTTATCTTCAGAAATTTTATTTGATTCCGAAAATGAATCCACCAACCGCCGCAGAAGTCTGAATAATAATACTGACTAGTGAAAATTAGGGAAGATTGCTGTATTTTGCAAATTACCTTTATACATCACAAAGACCTTTTCTGTCGGCTTGATATCACGTTGCATATTTTATTTTTACCAGTTTTATAAAAAGATCATGAAGGAACTATTGACTGAGGTTTACAATTTTTGTTGAATTTAACAATAAGATGTAATTTCAACCTAGTTAACACACTTTAACAATTAGGAGTCACCTGAACTGACCGTGGAATGGAATCAATAAAAGCATCGTTTTTTAGATACACTATTTTGACCAACACAATGATTGTACAAAACCGGATCGAAATCAGATCTATAATTTTTGTACGATGGTCGTACTTTGAAAGTTCTCTGGTAAATTAAGCCAGGACTTGAGACATCCTATACCATGGAAGTACAAATGTCAGGTATTATAAATGATATTAAAATTAATAACATCTCGATAAATCAAAGTAGTAAATTTCGATTCATATTTTTCTATAACCTTACAAAACATGGGTAGTGGGATCCATTAATAAAAAAGTTACTATAATTATGTGCTATTTCATCTCTTCTGTCTATTGCTGGTTGGTTCAATAGATGATTTTAAAATATCAACGTCCTTACATGTAGGACAATCTGAAAAAAGTTGAGTGTTATCTTTTCTACTCGAATGTGTTTCTGCTAAAATAAATAGGATACTCGCGCTCGAGAACGTTTGCAATGGATCGTGAAATTATTTGAGGCCTACGGCAGACGTCGATACGTCCAGTCCGACATGAGCTGAATGAACGCTATTGTAACGTTTGATGTATTGTTGCTATTAATATTACATACGCTACTTGGCTTCAGTTCAGTGTTATATTCTTTCATTGTACTACGTTATATTTGACTTTTTGCCGCAAAATGGTGAGGTCTTAAATGTTTCTGTTTTTGATAATTATCTATTGAGATTATCTATTGAGCATCGCAAACTGAAGTGGCCATTTTAATCATAATAGTTATTTCGTCGAGAATATAAAGAAGCGGTATAAAATTTGCCAAATTTATGAATTATCATCAGGTGCATATTATGGTATTCACTTAAGGCCGAATTGGTAAAATGAGCATCGTAATGTCACCACTACATTCTAAATTGGGTAGAACAGTTATATGTCTAAATATAAAATATTTAAAGCTATCGTCTACGTCTAAGTTAATCATTAAATAAGGCTTGCTCAGATCTTTCAGTTATTTTAAGAGAATTTATTTGTTACAGGACAAGGCCGTATGAACCAGTTGGGTGGGGTCTTTATAAACGGGCGACCTCTGCCTAATCATATTCGTTTGAAGATAGTGGAGATGGCAGCGGCTGGAGTAAGACCCTGCGTCATCTCGCGACAACTCCGCGTCTCGCATGGCTGTGTGTCGAAGATCCTCAATAGATATCAGGTATGATTTAGATTGTAGAGAAAGAACAAAAGCGTTTACAAAATGAAATAAAACTCAGAAAGAATACTGTAATAAAATTCATTCATTATTCTCGTAGGAAACCGGATCCATTCGTCCGGGTGTAATTGGAGGATCAAAACCACGTGTGGCGACGCCTGAAGTAGAGAACAGGATAGAAGAACTCAAGAGACAAAACCCAGGTATATTTTCCTGGGAAATTAGAGATAAACTAATAAAGGAAGGCATCTGTGATAAAAATACGGCTCCGTCGGTCAGTTCCATTTCGAGACTTATAAGAGGAGGCAAAAGAGACGAATCAGACCCTCGAAGAAATCATAGCATTGACGGTATTCTAGGTAAGTTATACTTACCTTAGATTTTTCACATTTTCATTTGAATTAAAATCTTTTTTTATCGATTGACAACACTTACCTTTTTTTAAAAAAAATAACCAATTAATCATTTCTCATTGATCTTTATGCTCTCCTCTATTAATATGTCTCCCTAATGTTTCGTTTGCCAATAATAATAACAGTTTGAACACCCATTTATAAACATGTATTTAAATATATAATATCTAAGGCAGGCGAAAAATCTTTAAATTGGTAAAAAGTAAACAAGAATAAAGTTAACTCGATAATGTTGCCATGTCATCGTAGTCCTCGCCGTTGATTCGAGAACATAATCACTTAATTTAATCGGGAGTGCTCTATTATTATAAATTTCTTCTTATAATGAGACAGCCGGAAACGTTTATGAACTCCGCAAAATGGCGTATAAAGTTAATAATCCACGTAGAAGTGAAGCGGGCGCAGCGCGCGCACGCCACGGCAGCGCCCCTTGTGTCGGCTTCGAAAATTGTAGGTTATAAAAATGAAATTAGTACCCAAAGCTGTTATTATCCCATCGCATTTGGCCGCAGGGCTTGCATTACGACAATCTGTCCGTACTGCACGTCTTGTGCCGTATAGCTATCCAATATAAAATGGCGCTCCTAATATCCCGGTTCAACGACGGAGTGCGGTTTTACCGGAGAGATTTTGCGCCGCGATAAGATTATGCATATTAAGTTGTGCGCAGCTAAAGTTATGTCTACACTTGGAAAGCGGTCCCTTTATTCACTCGCATGCACTAAAACATCTCGTGGCTGTATTTTCTCGTTTGCTTACATATAGTTACGCCATTTAAAATATTGTTAGACCACAAAAGATTTACAGATATTTTAGTGAATTTTCTCGGTTTACGTTCGCAGTTGGATTAATTTACGGAAGTCATACTTTTGTTTTCAATATTTTTTAATCAAGAAAACCAATCTGAGTGCAATCTCCTTCGATATAAGATTAATTTTAATCAACTGTGCGTGAGGTCCAATAGTAACCCAAAAAGAGCTAAGAAGATAAAAAGATTATGGGTTTTGTTACAATGGAAACTTTCTGCTCAACATCGTATAACATTATAAAGCTATGTTATTTTGAAACATATTTGGCGTTATAACAAGCCGTTGCATACAGGACACGTCGACTAGTTGTTGATATATCGTTATATTCTTTATCAAAGTTGTTTCCCTTATCTTTATAAGGTCCGTCATCTTGTGAAGACTCGGATACGGAGTCAGAGCCGGGTATCACGTTAAAAAGGAAGCAGCGTAGATCGAGGACCACCTTCTCAGGAGACCAACTTGAGGCATTAGAAAGGGCGTTCACAAGAACACAGTACCCTGATGTTTACACAAGAGAAGAGCTGGCACAGAAAACTAAGCTTACCGAAGCGCGTGTGCAGGTTAGTCTCATAATTTAAAAAATCCCCAGTTTAACAAACAGCATTTGTAGAATATGTTACAAAGTTCTAAATGTATCATATGACGGTGTGAGGTAATCAAGCAAACTAATTGTAAAGATCTTCACTTCCGTCCATGAAAATAGAGGAACGTAAAAAATGATGTAATTACCGTCAAAATTAATTATTACAATAGTGAATGCAAGACACCATATGTGGCCCTCGCTACCGTTCCCTTTATACTTTTTGTTGATTAATAACCCTTTATAATGTAAGCTTAATATGAAATGTAATAGACTTCATAATTATGTGTAACGATGTTTTATGAACACCTCTGTGTTATCCTTTTATTTATTATAAACTAGCTTTTACCCGCGGCTTCGCTCGCGTTGAAGCTAAATATCTTTTTTTATATTTTTTTAACTTAAGAATCCTATGTCTTTTTTAACCCTATTACCTCTAAGAAGATGTGTACAAAGTTTTATGATAATCGGTTGAGTAGTTTTCGCGTGAAAGCGTAACAAACAAACTTACATTCACATTTATAATATTATTAGGTATGTGCTCCAGTCAGGTTCACTTTACGTTTAAAAGGAAGCTATATGATGGTAATATTTTCGCAGGTATGGTTCTCTAACCGAAGAGCACGGCTTCGCAAGCAACTGAACTCGCAACAGCTCAGTGCCTTCAACACAATGTCCTTGCAATCTGCCTTTCCTTCCGTACATCAGCAGTACGAACCACCGTCAACGTTCAACGCTCAGTGTGCGTCATGGCAGCAGTCGTACTCTTCAGCTTTGGGCTCCAGTTCCGTTCTGAATTCTGCGTTGGCACCCACGCTCCACCAGTCATCCTTGACCCCCTCCGTGTGCCAGTCAGCATTGGCCGCCTCGTCACTTCATCCGCCCACGTCGACTTCGTTCTCCACAGGAAACTTGACTCCTCTCTCCCATTCGTCAGAACTACCCACTCCGCTTCAACCGGCTTCAGACGCAACACCTCCTAGCACCAGTCCCATTGCAAGCAGCCCTTCGGCGAACCAAAGCAGCGGCATAACCTATCAGCACTCCGCGTATGCAAACCCAAGCGAACCAGTCCCCCATCCATATGGATATGCAGATTATTCGAAACAAGAACACGCTATGTCGGCTCATAACCACTGGACTTCGAGGCAGCTCGGTGGGCACCCCCAAAACAAACTACCCGAAGTTGGTTGGCCAGAGAATTATAGGTGAGTTAATTTAAAAAAAAAAAAAAAGGTGATCATGCACTCTCTCATGCGTCTCTTAAATCGAAACTTCTCAAATGTCGCAATATTTCTTAGTAAGCGGTCATGAATAATAGATGTTTAGATGTTTATATTCAGACTTGGTTTCTACTAGATTGAATGTCCAATTACAATATGCCTGAACCTCGCTGACCATTTAAATTATAATATACTTATTCAGAGCAAAGAATGATATTCCCATTCACAATGATTAATGATGGCAACTAATATACATCAGTGGGCACGGGATGTTGCTAGCCGGAGCGTTGCCAGAGCTATCCGTTTATCGAATAACGTCCGGTGGCTATCGACGGGCGGAGGGCTCGCTCGCGAATCGACCCCCGTTCGTTTTATTTCTTTTCACCTTACTTTATCATTAGCCGGCGCGGCCGCTAATCAATTAAGAGTATAAGAAGTCGGCCATTATACACCGCGCGGGTGGTTATTACAGTCCGCTCGTCGTAATACACGATGCGATCGTGAGCGGAATAGGGCTGCGAAATATATAGAGGCGTTTGATTGATTATTAATCAACTCACCTCCGATGGCCGTTGTGAATTTTTTATCAGTGGTCACATATGTTTCGTGGAGTTGAAGATGTTTAGGTGAGTAATGCCCGCGGTGAATTTGTCACAGGAGAATGTGACAAGCTCATTGTTGCTTTGTATTCTAAACAGCGACGACATTTATCTGTGCTATCGAGACAAAGCACGAGTATCCACCTTAAATTGGACCACACACAATATATCGCTTCGCACAATGACTGACATTCTTAACATATTGTTAAGCTACGTTTATATGGCGTTCGAGATTATGCCTTACCTATTTACTTACGTAACTACGATTGAAGTCTTACTCGCCATTGCTGTACCTTTGTGGTTTGTACATAGTTTGTACACGTAAAGCAAATAAAGTAAATAATTTGTTTCAATATTGACTAGCGTAATAATTCGGTTACCGAAACATTTTTATTTCCTCCGTTTTATGTACTGTACCCACAGTTTAACGGCAGTGCAACGTCTTATTTCATAATCAGTATCGATCATGAATTATTTCACGTTACATTGGTATCCATTAACCATTTTGTACCTCACTATAGAAATTATAAGAACAACTCTAAATGTTTCGTTTTTTAAATTTGGCAAAGCCCTCAGTATTTTCTTCTAGTTGTTTCCGAATCGTAAAACGTGCACTTTTTTACCTATATCATGTCGGATACGTAATCGGTCTGTTATTAAAAAAATGATTTTAAAGGCTACGTACTTTAATACTCAATTGTCTTATAACAATCAGCGACCTTATCATTGCATTATAAAATTGATTATGATCATTATTTTAATTTCACATCTAAAGTTACCTTCTATTCATGTTACATTTTAAAACATTCCTATTTTTTGCATAACGAGCAATTGTCAATAAAAACCCGTGCAGCAATAAAACACGATAGCCAATAATTTATTTCCATTAGCATTCGCAAAACGGTACACCGACGTGAGGAAACACGAACTCATGCAGGTTTCCACTGCGGACTCCGATCTGTAGTTACTGCCGTATTGTCTTCCTATCATCGGAATTGCATACAATGTGTCGGTCGTGGCGTACAGTACACATACATCGCGGAAAACAGATGAACACACGTTGCCCGTAGCGAGTGTAGGTGCAATTAATGAGAGGCCGAACGTGACATTAGTGCAGTGAACCCGGGCATTAAACTAACGCGAGCCCGGCATTAAAACTTATCTGCAGCTATTTGCATTCGACTTCCTAAACTGCGACTCTGTTTTCGTGCAATCGACGTTTGGTCACTTCGCAACGATCTTTCTGCTTTTTCAAGATATCCGGATTGCTTAAGTTTATGATTGGTAAACGCATCTATGGTTAAAACGTTTTTACATCTGTCATAAGGATTTCAAGCCGATTTTAAATTTGAAACGAGTTTAAGTTTAACTTTATTAAAATTATTTTATATTATTGTTAAATAATTTTTGAGAGTCCTGTTGAAGTAACGCGTTATTAAATGCACTTATGTGTATCAATATATATTTGATAGCAATATAGAAAGCCAGGAGGGAGAGAGATTAACTTTCTCGAATGGATTGTGAGCTTCTCGAATTACCTGTGGCAGGGCCACGCAACAGTCTTTGTTGTTGCACGAATGGGTAGGTCCGTCAGTACTCGTAACTCACCAAACGCCGGGCTCAAGTGTAAAAGTTATAATTCTGCGTTTCCTTTGGTGAGTGACGTAGCCGGGGCCCACTTTATTAAAAGATGGCAATGCATCTGCAAACCTATGGTTGTTGCAAATGCCCTTGGGCGGCGGTTACCACTTAACATCAGGTGTACCGCCAGCTCGCTTGCAATCTTTTTACACAAAAAAATAGACGATATCTTTGTTCAAAATAAGAAATCTCTTCATAAAACTGTGTACGATCATCCACATGTATTTCGTAGGTTAATTAATTGAAATTCGTGGTTTCCTCTGCGTGCTTCGCGTCAGTCAATTTAGGTATTATACGGTAATGACGTGGTTTGTGTGCTGAATACAATTGCTGTGCAAACTTTGTTTCACCTGCCCATACTTTAACTGAACTTTGATAATTTGGTGGTCATATGATGTTCATCTGTCATAATATAATATACATATAATCGCTGCAATATGCATTTTAATAAGATTTAATTATTTTTTTTTTGCTTTTTATCAATATATACGAGAAGAGTTTCGAGTATCATCATGAAAAAAAATATTTTTGATGATGTTGTAGAAGCCAAATTATATAGAATTAATGCTCACGCATCAGTCACGAAGCGCTTCTGTGAATTACGCCCACAGAACCTTCCAGTGTATCATTCAGACTTTAACCAAATTACGTATTTCGGTGGTCCACATTCAAGTAACAATTACAACGGTTCGGAGAACTACTAATGTCTTTTAATTTACTCTATGATTACCGCATTCTTCTTATTACGTTTTATGTTAGTCATTCGATGGATTTTATACTGACTAAGCTATACTTACATATTAATAGACTTGTGCATTGTATTTGCTTTAGTATCGTATCTGAGTTTCTGTTGCATAGCTTAGATTTTTTACTTTATTAATATTTTATCAATTATTAATAAAGTAAAAAAGAGAATGTTCAATACTAATAATAAATTTGCAATAAAGTAACAACTTATGTATGTCCCACTGCTAGGCAAAGCCTCCTCTGTACGGAGGGTATTAGGACATAGTCCACCACGCGATCAAGCGGATTGGCTACCTCGAAATATATTATACAGCGTGTCTTTACCATCGCGACAATAAATGAACACACATATAGAGGATAATTTTTTAAAATTGTATTAAACATTTACATTCTTTAAACATCAATATTTACAGAGTTATTAAATTTTCCAAAACAAAGAAGTTTAGAACACCCTTACGTATAAAACTGTAACGTAAAGTTCATTTGTAAAGGTCACAAAGCATATGAATGGGTTGAATGAATTTAAAAGAGACAAAACATACTGTTAGAAGGAGCGGCTTGTAAAGCGACGCTGTGGCGCGAGTTGTATAGGATGATACAAATTTTGTTTCTTTTTTACTTAATTAGTTTGTTTGAAAAATATATTTTTTTAATTATGGATATTTTTTATACGTTAATATTTTTTTATGATTATTGGCAAGTAGAGTTAGACGTGTGTTCATTTATTGTCGCGATGGTAACGACACGCTATATATATAGTATAGTATAATATAGAATATTTGATTTGTTTGTTATAATTTCGAAAAAATGCAGGTTTCCTCACAATGCTTTTGTTAAGTATAACGCTTCACGAGTATTCTAGCTTTACATACAATGCGGGATACACGTTAATAAGTAAGTCGAAGAATTAAAAATAAAACGTCATTGCAATAATTTGTCAAATCTCGAAGATTTTGTCATTGCTGTTTAAAATAATACTTTGGCGCAATTTTGTTTTTAGGTGTTGTAAGAAAAAAATAACCATTAACATTAAACTGTTTGCAAGCTACCTTGCGGCTCCCACGCTGCGTTACTGTGCTTTCTTGTGCTGGTGATCGCAAGCGGTCAAAATAATTATTTCCACTATCGCGTATAACAACCGGTAATTATATGATAGGCGCGAAATTACTTAACGATTTCGGTAATCTTTTTCATTCACGTTTTGGTGTACGGTTTTTTATTCAGCGCTTCCCTCAACAGTGGGTTTTGAAGGTTGTCGTTTCCCGTAAAGTATTTATCTGGTTTGTGTGAATCTGGACAAAGTGTTTCTTTATTTTATCTGAAGCCGGTTAACAAAAGTTGAATTTTAAAAAGATAGGAGAGTTCTAGCTTCTTACCCTTTATCGGAGCCGGAGGTTACAATTTGATTTAAGTGACGCGGTTATTACATATTAAAGTCAGATAGATATCATGGATAGATCACCATCATCCTCCTGAATTTAACCCAACTTGGTGGGATCGGCACAACATGTGAATTATGTTGTTAGCGGTTTTGGCTATGTTTTTTTACTACCAGCCGCCTGCCAGACGTCAACCCTCCTTAGTAAACAAACACTCAGATCCAGAACAATTATCTGTTGCTCATACAAATACTTTTCGGTGTGGGAATCGAACGCAGGACATTGCCGAAGTCAATAGCTTAGCAACGGCGCTACCGAGTTATAGATATCTGTATATATGTAAAAATCTATGCGTGAATATATCAAGGTCCGATAGATATTATGGATAGAAATGCATCTATATAAAAGTCGATGTGTGTACGCGATGAGGAAATGTTAGAAAATATTTAGATTAGCCAAGTCAGTGATCCTGTCAAATTATGAATCTGTGGAGCCGACATCAATAAATTTTTTTAATGACTTGCTACCCGTGCTAAGGCTGGGCTAATAAAAAAATGCCAACCAATTATTAATGTGTTTCTGTTGTTTCAGTTCATTCTTCGGCACAAATGCCTCGCACTACGCTTCGCACGCGCATTCACCGACTGAGGCGAAATCCGGATATCCGTATTTGGGCCAACTAGGTGGGATGGATATGGGAAGAGTTCACTAAGATATTTAACTATTTTAATGTTGTTATAGAAAATATCACATAAAGTTTGTATAGATATTTCGTTACGCTGCCTTTACCAGTACTGAGGCATTATGTGTTGTGCCTTTTAGTTCGTAATGGTTGGTAAGTAAACTATTCTTGTGAATAAATATACTATATTTTTTAGAAAATTTTCTAATGAATTGTACAAATAAAGTGAAGGAATATTTTATGTAAAGAATGATTTTGTCCTGTATTTGTATTATGAGCTTTATGTAGATAAATAACGTAGTTGTAAAGTAACTTGTTCCTATATTGAATCTGTTATATCTTTTTCCTATCATCTAATATATAGTATTTACATAGTTATTAATGATATTTCTGGATTTCATGTACACCATTACAGTATGGATATGTTAGTGTCTTAAATGGAATTCGATCGGTTTTCGAAAGTATATATGAAATGTATTCTAAAGCGTCAATTACACTTGCCTTATGTGAAGTTGTGATTACATAATATAGTTTTATTTATTAATTGATACTTATAGCACGTAGATTGATAACTTTACGTAGTACGCACATTTGTCAAAAAATTTGTTCAGAATAAATGGATTGTAAAAATATGTACATGGTTCTTTATTTCATCATCGAGTTTTACTTTTTGACGAGCTGTTATAATAAATATAAATATTTTAGGACACATTTTTAAAATTTATTCTGGCTCAATGTATTCATTAGACAAGACAATGTTGTGTGGGTGCAGCGCTGCTTATTACAATTGACATAAATAAGATTGTGCTTAACAAAATGTTACTTACAAACCTTATAATGATACCCTTTAGATTACTGGAGGCAACTCGTGGCTAAGTCGACCGATGACATAACTCTGGCGTCAGTGCTTTGTCATAGAAAATGAATAATGTGCATCAAGAAGGTTGGTAAATTTACTATTATTGTACAAGACAATATGCCTGTAGGCGATATTTCATATGAAGACAGAAATTTATAAATTTCTACTAAAATATTTACAACAATTTCGAACATTTTTTTTCTAAAAGTGAACTGATATACTTTCGAATTTAAAATAATCCTGGTTTCAAAAAACAAATGGTTAACAACAATAAACCTCTCAGAGTTAGTGGGATTGGTGTTACTCTTGATGAAAAACTGTTCCCGGCGCTATACATACTCGTAAACATCATATATGTACGTAATGAAATCGAACTTTTTACAATAAAAAAAAAAACATACCACAATGCATCGGGATATACTTACTTCACTACATAGTATGAAATAAAGTCGTCCCGCTGTCGGTCTGTCCCTACGTATGCTTAGATTTATAAAACTATGCAACGGATCTTGATGCGGTTTTTTTTACTAGATAGAGTAAATCCAGAGGAAGGTTTATATGTATAATACATTGCACCCGTGCAAATCCAGGGCGGGTGGCTAGTGCATAATAATGTAGGTGACATCCACAAACAACTAAGAGTAAACCATTTCAAAGATTTTATAAATGCTACCCTAATAAAAACATCCTCTTATAATGTCGAAGAACACATTGAGGACAAGGATGTGAAGGCTGCTGTTGATTTTATTCTTAAATTATTTTGTATACTTATATAATTAATAAATGATAGTTAAGACGTCTTCTCTGGACTGTAGTCTAGTTTAGTAAAGAGGTGGTAGTTTTATTGACTTTCAATAACGCCCGGTTTCCGAATAAGATCATCGTAGAACTTAACTAATCAGCTTTCAAATATCATGTGAGTTGTCAAAAGTATGGTTAAACTCTCTGAATTGATAAGATTACAATCATGGAAGGAAGTATTTACATACACGGGTCGACCTAATGCGGAGGGCCATATCCAGCTTGTGGGTTCTAGCTAGTCCACGAGTTTTGCGTTTTATGACTGACAGCAAAAACATCATTTAAAGTTAAGTAAGTGCAGCGATGCATGTTGTGGTGGAATGTACTATAAATTCGTAAACGCTACATATTTGCTATCAATTTTGTACAATCGGTCCTATAAGATGATAAATCACAGTTGATATGAGTATGTAAAACTATCGCTAAAACATAACTTACGAGTAAATGTAACAATTCAATAGAAAGTCTGAAATTGATTCACTTAATGATATTCACCTAAGTTAAAAATAGCATTTAGGTGGCATTGACTACAATCTGCGTACGTAGGCTTACATGTTAAGCACATTAGTGAGCCTGAGTAATTTCTCTTAACGTTTTGACAATAGCCGATATTGTCGTTCCGCGCAGTATGGGGTGTAATTAGATAGTCAAACACACGCTTCAGCATTTAAGACAACATACGAGCGCGATCGAATATACTGGAGTGCTTTTGTCGTGCACTAATTGTGTCGATAATACAATTGCAATACGAAAAGATTTGAAAGCTGTGCTGTAGCATTCGGGTAACACTAAATATATTCGTATTATTTGAGGGCTTTATATTTATGGAATAATATGGTGGAAGTTATAGTATTGCGATTCATTTCCCAAATAAGGCGATATATATATACACGTTAAGAATGGATGATTTTTGAGGTTTTGCTGTTCACATGGTTTAAAATAATATGTTAATTCAGATTATAAGTTTAATTATAATAAGATTAAAAGTGATTTGTCCCTACATCTTTAATGCAGTTATCGTTGGTTGAAGATATATGGAATGATTTTTACGTTCATACCTTTAAAAAATTACCATAGTCTCGTCCACATGATAATTGCCTAAATACCAATTAACCAGATAACAATATAATGAAGGGTGTTTAGATAAAATCAAATATATAAGATTTTACAAGAGATTTGAATAAACGATAAAAAACGGGAATCAGAAATATTTCAATACTTTTATTGGAGATGCTATTACGCGGTCCGATCGTACTGATGACTAAGCCAGTTCGATAACTATCAATAGAGAAGTCGTTGAATGGAAAACGTGATTGTGACCACTGTTTTTTCTTTTTAAGGACGCGTTTACGAATTCACGCGCTTCAATTTTAGGTACAGAGGCGTACTACTACACGTGCACGGCTCACGCACACAGCGACAAGCGCGAAGCAGCGAAACTTTATGTAACTGACGCAACTTGATACTTTTATTTAATTTGAAGTCATTTATTTTTTAAGTTTACGTTAAATTTGTTTTCAACAAGTTTTTAAACTGAATATTTTTTTATATAATTATTTAGGTATAATTTATTAAATTTCATTTAAAAAGCTCGTAGCTGTTGATAATTTGCGTTTTAATTAATTATGTATATAATTTAATTTTATGTTTTAATTAATTTTTATGAAGAAAACGAAGCTTGTTTAATACATGTTTGATTATGCGTGCGGTAGGTAGATAGCTTGATAGGTAGGTAATGGTAGGGTACGTAGGAAGGTAGCTATGTAGGCAGATAATTAGGTAAAACCCGCTAACGAATTGAGTAAAATACTTTGTATCGTATTCTGAATGCATTTTGCTGATTCAATAATATTCATGCTAAATGTTAAAAAAAAATAATTTTCTGTAAATGAATTGGAAATAGCATGGCGTACGAAGCCGGGCTAGTATCTAGAAACTAAAAATGAAATAATAAAACGAAGGAAACAAACTAGTAAAAATTAAAAAAACATTTTTTATAAAAAAAAACCTGTCGCACTCGGCTCAGCTGGGGTAAAGCTATAGCATAGCATCTTTTATCAACTTATGCGATTATAATTATTTAATTATGCAGTATTTTTTTCTTTGATATTTATATTTATGTTAATAAATAATATTTTAATAATATAATAATTAATATATATTATAATTAATAATATATAATTAATTTATATTATTTACAAAAATGATAAGAACTACTAAGTCAGTCACTAAGCTCTGGATAGTTAAATTACAATATACTAACATTTTTAAACTTGTGATCTCTTTCGAATGGAATGTCCGAATTTAATCATTTAAAAAGTTATATAAAGATATTGAAACAGTCTTAAATATAAAGTAATTTAAATTTTTATAAGGATTAATACCAAGATACAAATAAAGAGCCTTTTCTAGCGGCGGCATTTCAATCAAAATTTTAAAGTAAAAGAATACTTATTGTGGCATAACTATAATAGTTAGACATATACTGTCGAAACACTTTTTATAAATAATGATGTGTTCTGCAAATTCGTAGTACATTATTTTATACAATTATCAATAGTTTTAGCAGCGCACGCGATGCAAACAATATTTTAGGTAATTTTTGTACACTTTGGGTTACATTATTCAAGTTTTAGTAAGGATTCCTAGTTTTTTGAAAATTTAATATATCCTATGTCATCCGGGGATAATGTAGCTTACAAGGAGCCTATTCAATGCATAAAAACAATCAAATCTTTCCTCTTGCGTGGTAGGCGGAGTGGGTGGTGTTAGGTTTTATTTTCGTTACGGAATTTATTGATTCGTTCGCCGCGCTCAAAGCCCGCGATAAAAGCTGTGCAATAGCTTAAAAAATATTGTTTCATTTTTTAATTTGACTCTTCCATGCTCTTCGCCAGAACTGTCGCTATGTCGATCCTGGGTGGAGCAAGCCCGCGAGGCCAATTTATACCTCCGACACGAGGTTCTGGCTCCGCCTTTTGATGTTCACTCTATGGATAGGGAAGACCACACGGAGTCGGGGTGCTCTGTGTCGGATCTTTGTGATTTTTCTTTATAGTTCTCTATCATTTAATTATTTTTGTTATCTATATCGAAGTAGTAGCCTGCTAAAATTTTATCGTTTTAGGCTTTGGCATCTGAAACAACAATTGAGTTATAAGAGGTATAAATGTTGTATGTGATAACTGTGCCATAAAAATAAGTCTTTGATAATTTAAGTTGAGACCCACTACATTTTTACATAACTATTTTTTTTTTTTCGTGTTTTGCCTATTTTAAAGACGTTCTTACTATAGATACCATTTGTTCCAAAAGATTGCAAGTCATTAAAAAAATTAAGTATTATTTTAGGCAGAATCCATGATCA